AATATCAAGTCAATGTCTCTTTCCATTTTCAGAGTTTTTAATAAAGGTGAAAAAGAAAAAAAACAAACAAAACAAAAACAAACCAAAACAAAAAAGCCCAAAATAAACCAAGAAGAGCCTTTTTCCAAAGAATTGTGTTATAACAAAAAAAAAATGAGGAGACTGATGATGGGTAATACAACACAATAAAGGTCATATACCACTCAGAAGAAAAGGGGAATATTCCAGCTTAGCAATTCCCCTGACATTAGGGGAGAACAATAAACTTGTGAAAGACATTGCTATTTTAGTTCTCTTTGCATGAAATCATGGCTCCAGCAGGAATTCCTCTGTATATGGGCAGTTGGTCTCCTCTCTGCTCCCCTCACTTACCACTTCCCCATCTTTATTTATCTTGTGTAGTTTGAGCAGCAGCTCTCTAGGGCCTGAAACCCAATCCTCTTGATATTTCCAAGTACTTCATAAATTAACATTTTGTACCACCAGGAGTGCCTTTGAGGACACTGTGCTTTGTTGAATGAGAAGTGATGTGGTTTTGGAACCTTGGTTTTATTTTTGTAGTGCAGCCATATAGAAGGAAGTGATGCAGCTGAGCAAGGGAGGTGAATGTGTGCTCCCAGGAAGTCCTGGGATTTCTTTAAACTCTTCCACAACTTGTGGGCTATTTGCCTAAAGGGTTGCCTATAAGGCAGGCTGCCCCACTGTGGGTTATTGGTGCCCCTGTTCAAAGAAATACATAAAACAAATTCTGTTTGTCTTGCTCTCTTGCAGATAACTAGCATCAGTAGTGCTTTCCTAATTTCTATAGGATATATGTAGTTTGGGCTACGTGGTGTATTGTTATTCCAGAGCCTTGAAATCAAAGTTTAGTCTCTTCAAACCAGTTCTACAGGATAATTTTTACAAAATAAATTCTGTTGCATCTAAAAAAAAAGTAAATCCTCCTTTGGCTTTCATCCCAGCAATGCTGTGATACTTACAGCTGGAAAGGCATCCTGCTTTCTCTGCATTTCTGTTTATCTACTGGAATGCTTTCCATGCCATCTGTGACCATCAGATCCTTCTTGTGTTTTTTGGCTGTTCTTTCTTGCCTATAACCACAAGCTCTTCATGGCCAAGATTGGATTGGGTTTTCTTCAGGGTCTGGGTTTTTTTCTTTGGTACAGCTCAGAGTGCATGGGTAAGGCTTTGCAAATAAGGATCAATGTTTCTAAAAATCAAATGTTACAATGATAAATGAAAAGGTCAAGTGCTGAGATTCAGATAAAGTTCAGCTTAAACTTGAAGTATATGTCTAACTGAAGTTTACTTGAAATATCTAAAAACTGAACTTGAAAAGCTTGAAAGAGCTCAAACACCTACAATTGAAGTTTGTTTAGTGCATGAGGGAGAGGGAAAGGGGGTAGGCAGGCTTTCCCAGCTACACCACATGGATTAGATACCCCTCATCCTCCTGGTTGTTGCAGTTCTGCTCTGCTGTTGGAGGCAAGAGTGGTTGTTCTTGTTTCTGCCATCCTGCAGGTCTTTCTCATTAAAAAAAAAAAAAAAATTGTTGATGGGCAGCTCTTGAGAGTGGCACTGTGTTTTCTTTCTTATATATTCTCCATATGGAGCCAGACAGCCAGGAGTGGATGTGGGGGAGCTCACAGAAGCTGGGCAGTAAAACCAGCATTTGATTTAACCCACTGCTAGAAAGAGCAGTCCTGACTAGGGTATGATGAGAAAATTTAAAAGGCGTTCTGGCATTCATGGTGTTCAAAGTCCTTCAGCCCTGCAGACTGTACATGGGATGGGTTGGCCTGGAGGAGCACTGACCTCCCTGTCAGATTTGTCCTCATGATACACACTTTGCCTGCAATGCCTAGAAGAAATAAGCCACCTAATTATGGCCAAATTAGTGGTAGCTGGGGGCAGTGGATGAGAAGAGGGTTTATTGCTTTGGCGTGAGGGGTTTGTGTCCCTTCCTGCTGCCTGTGCTTATTTGTAAACTCTTCAGGGCAGAAACTTTGTTTGCATTGACATTTTTACAGCATGTAACCAGTGGGGCCCTAATTCTGGATGAGGTTTTGGGAACCACAGTAAAGCAAATAAATTTTTTTCCCCTTTCTTTCCCTGACATATATTACCATACCCAGAGAACTGAAGAGCAGTCATTTGTCCTCATCCATTAAATTTTATGTGAAATAACACAGAATTTCTCTAGAAGAGACATTAATAAAACTCACTGTATTAATTCTTCAGTGCTTGACAGAGCAGAAAGGTGCCTTCCCATTTTGAGAAGGCTTCAGTAGCTTTCTATTTTACTGACATCTGCAGATTTTTACAATGTCTAAAGCCACTGTTGCTTTGAAGAACTTGAACCTGGATTTTCATTTCATGTCCTACTTTCCAGTTTGCAAATACAAGGGATTTCACTGTGTTATCCTAAGGTGGAAAACCTAATATAATTCTAGAAACCTTGCAATGCAATTGTCTGGATGTATATGGAGCTTGTGATAAACCTCCCACGGAAATTCAAAAGGTTTAGCTATTTGTGAGAAATACCATAAATGTTTTAAGTACAGGCAGCTGCTGCTAGAACAGAATCTGTGGGCTGCCATGAGGGTGTTGGGTGGGAGCTGAGCAAGGAAGGTGGGATTTATATTTACCTGTTCTTGTTAGTTTGGCTTTCAAGACAGTTCATGTGCAGTCCAGATTCTGATTTCATGGCAGGGCCAGTTATTCTCACTCCATTTTTCTGTATCTGGTACAGCAAGTTCTTCCTGCCCAAAAAGATAGAAATGGCTTTCTGGGGCTCAGAGCAGGCATTGGCTTGAAGGATGTGCTCCTCTAATAGGAGGAGAAAACAAAGTTTAGCTTCCTTTCCCTCCTCATTTTTACACTTGAAGTAGTCCAGCTTACTGACTATATTAGGATCCCTGTGTATCTTGGCTAGGTTATGACCAGTATGATCTGCTTTTTGTTTTTCCTCTTCTTACTGGATTAAAGGTTTTTTAAAAGTTTTTCAGAGGCTGCTCCCTGCTTGTCTATTGGTTGGACAAATTCACTTGTCTAGAAACCTAAATTTAGTCCTTTACTCACGCAGAGTAGTCATTCAGGCTTATCTGTCACTCAGTTTTTCTCCTATGTTTTTGCCAAATAACTACCTAACAAGATAAAATGAAATATCTTCCAAACCTGCCTGGCTCCTTGCAAACTGAGTTTGCATCCTTAGAAAAATTGGAATGACATGTACATTATGAAGCAAGGAATCACTTTAAGTGACTGATGTAAGGGTCCAGTAAAATAGGAGGGGGGAAAAAAAATCTTCCTGCAGGAAGTATTTCCATGATTTTTGACAAGACCAGTTGTTAACAATGTCACCTTATTTCGCTGCTGCTGTGCACTTCTCTTGCAAAAAAACCAAAAACAACCCAACAAAAACTGTCATGAATTTGAATTCACAGGAGATTAGTCTATACCAATGAGAAATTCTAAAAATCCATATGTGAAGTGAGCTTGAAAGCTTGGGGTTTTTTTCAAGCATGATTTGATTTCTGTATGATACAATAAATACTCTTGTCTAGGGAATGTTTTTATGCTCCTGTTCAGGACACCCAAGTTCAGAACAGGAGAGAGAGGCTCAGGTAGGTCATGAGGGAGCTTGGCAGATTTTGTGCATTTTTTGGTTTTGTTTCTTTTTTTCATTTTGAGCCCTCAGTAGGACTGGAACTGCCAGAGGCATGTTCTAGGGCACAAGAGAAGATTGTTTTCAGAGCTGTTCTTGGAGCTCACCTGCCCAAATGGCAGCTGCTGTTCCTAATCCCCTTTTCCTGAGTAAGTTTTTGTAAGAGCTGAAAATACAGTGAAAACTATCAGGCAAAACTATAAGAATGTTCTTGCTGTATAAAGGGGAATCTCAAGGTTGAAAACAGGTAGGAATTGGACTGGATTTAAAACTCTTGTAAAATACTTGTCCATCCACTGGCTGCCTCAGAGGATCTTTTGCAGAGGGGCTGTTTTGATGCACAAGCTTGGCAGGTCGCTCTGGTATTTTAAAACAGCTGGCACAAAAACATTTTGTAAAAGAGAGCGTGTGAGGGAGCAAGGCTGGCTGGAATCAGCTAAGAGAACTTCGGCTGTGGTTTAATTTCTGTCTCACTAAAGGCAAACTGTGGGATTTGGAAAGGAGCAAAGTATGAACAAGATCCTGCATTTTTGGTGTGAAAAGCAGAATGGTATTTCATCTATTTTAAAAAAGAGCTTGAAGTATTTGCAGAGCATTACCAGTTCTGCAGACATGAGTAACAGCAGAAATTCCATTTTTAATTGTTTTGCATTCCTTCATCTTAGGATCCTGGATCTCTTAATACACACATTAAATGAAAACTTAGAGCTTTTGTTTAGAGTGAATATTTTCTGCTGGAGTGGAGGAACTAATGCAAGAGAAATTCTGGTTCAACTGATTCAAAGCTCAGTGTAAGAAACTTTCACCAGGTTATAGAGAAATTCCAGGGACAGACCGGAAAGAGGAAAGATTCTTGACTAAAATGAGTAATGGTAGATTTTCATTATGAAAAATGCTAATCAGAATATGAGTATCTTATATTCTGAAGGTTTTTCCTTCAGAGTGTTTTTGATAGTTTGTTTTCTGTGTAGTTTTGAAATGGTTTTTAACAAGTAGTCCAGTGAAAGGGGTAAAAATGACACCAAATCGCCTTGGACAAAGTAGTAGTTGGATTTCTTGAGCAGCAGAAAGAACTGCAAATACTCATAAATGACTTTTCATGGGGGAGTGGGCAAATTGGTGGAAGGATTTCAATTGAGGATTGATAATTGCCATAAAAAGCAGATATGAAGTGAGGATTGCTAGGAGGAAAGATGAACTGAGATGAACATGAAGGGGAAGAGTAAAAGTGCTTATTGGAAAAAGGAATGTGTGTGTGCTAAAGCAATTTATAGAGAAGTACCTACAATTTTTTGAAAAATAGCTTAATCTTGCTTTTTCTTTTTTGTTTCAGTGTTCTGAGGTCATGAAACTTAATCCACAGCAAGCTCCACTGTATGTGAGTACCAATTAAAACACTTTACTATTCACACAAAACACTTCCCATCAGCTTTTTGAAGATGCTGCTTCTTTTCTCTTTGCACCCTTAGCAGTTTATTTATATTAATTCAGTTGCAGATGCTCGGTGGTAACGCTCTCAGGTAAGTCACAGAGCTCCTCTGGTTTCCAGCAGACCGCTTTAAGTAGGTTTTGGAGCTGTCTCTGTGCAGGTATCCCCCACTTCTGTTTTTCTCTGTTTTTCCTCCCCAGAGCGTGCTGGAGTGCGCAGCTGTGCTTGTGTGACTTGATGTGTTGAGAGGTGCTGAGGAGAAACTGCTAGTGTGGAAAACAGGGCATCCCAGTGTGCAGGGCTTGCCCACTGTGATAATATTTTTCTGTTTGGAGTTTTAAACGTGGCAGGGAGGACCAGGAGGCAGCGCAGGGCTGGGCTGCAGCAGGGGATGGTTGACGTCAGCCTCTCCGAGCTCGTAACCTCCATGAACAAGGAGCAAGCCTGCCCTGGCTCTGAATAGCAGCTTTGTTGGAGAACATGGGCACTGTCAGATTCGACCTGGATGTGTGGGGGTGTGTGAGCGTGTGTTCAGTCTGTGCCAAAGCTGCCAGCCAGCTCTGTAACTGTTTGCTTTCCTTGCCTTGCCATGCTGGGAGCAGGCTGAGCTGCTGCAGCTCGTGGTCCTGCCCACAGACCTCGCCAGCCAGGGCAGCTGGATGAGAGGATGGAAAATCTGAAGGGAAAATTGCTTGCAAATGTGGTTTTTAAGGGGAAGGAAGGAGAAACAGTCAGGACTGGTGATAGACCTGTACCTTGGAAAGTGTTGTGTGTTGTCAATAATGGATCATATTGACCTTTAAGACCATGGAGACTTTAAATTTTGCCTACTTTAGTTACCAACTAGAAGTTTGCATTGGAATTTATTCTCTACCTGATGTCCTAAGTCTGTGCTTGAAGCAAGATTAAAATACTACATAGTGTGACCTGATTTTGTAGAGTGGCTTTCCAGGAGTACACCATATCCTGAATTTTGAAACTAAATGTTGCCTGAATTTTATTAGATCTCAAGTCTACTGAATGTACCTTGACTTTGAAGAAACTTAATTTAAGCTTAGGACACATTAAGAGGGATTGGAATTTATGTCCAAATATATTATGAAATTGCTACAGTTGAAACACATTAATGGTGTAATGCAGAACAAAATTGTTCTCATGTAATTTGAACAGTATATGACTTTCCTAATCTGGAGGCTTTGTTTTCTCAGGCTTATCTACTGAATTAGTTTATTTTCCCACTGTTTTGTGTGGGGTTTTATTGAATATGTAATACTGAAGTGGTACACTTAGAAGTCGTCATCCCCATGTGACAGAGAACTGGGCTGAGGTCAAATGTAGCCTGATGTAAAATAATGATTGTATAGCACTTGATATAGTGTTTCTTTGCAATGCAAATAAGTTACATTATTAATACATCAGTGACTCCCTTTTCTCTCCTCTTTACCTGGCCAGGTGTATACACAAATCAGCTCCCTTTGAAAAAACCAAATTTGGTGGTAGTTTAAGGAAATTTGAAAGGTCAAGATTTAGTCTTTCTGTTTGCTCTCAGTATAAATGCTTTATACATTTTAAGATCAGTTTTGTTTTCCATGTGTTGCTAATTGACAGCTCATCTGGGAGTCGTTAGGTGCCAGCAGAACACAAAGAAAAGGATATCTTCCTGGTATTTCTATTTTTCTAAAGGCAGACACAGCAGTCTTGTGGCCTGGCCTTTGGGAGGCAAATAACAAACCTCACCACATTCCTTCTTCATAGTGTTGGCAACTCCATTTTTCATATACAGCCTCCTTGATCTTGTTTTCAAATTACTGAGAACAGTATTCTGTTAATTCCTCCATAAGGAATTTCATCTCTTTGAATGACTGGAAATAACAGGCAATACTGACATGTCAAAGGATTTCCCTATCTTTGTCTGCTTTCAGGAAAATATGTTTCTCCCACACTTGACCCTTTTGGTTTTGAAACCTTTGCATCTTCCTCTTTTAAGCTAATATCTTAGATTAAGGATTATACAATTTTGTTTATTTTTTTACTAAGTCTGCCATGAGTTTCACTCTGAAAGATCCATTAGATAGTTGTTTTCATCAGGAGCATTACTGAGCTCCTTTTAGGAGGAGGAAGTAGAAAAATGGTGTCTCCAGTTCAGTTCCTGGAAGCCAATTAGAGAGCTAAAGCATACTTCATCCTATCTGGTAATTACCAGGTTGCCCAGATTTCATAATTAAGAAAAGGGGTTTGGGAACCTGAGATTTCCAGTGTACTTGGGGCCAAAGCTTTTTGGGTGATGGAAAAGATGGTATTTCCACATACACACCTATAAAGGCGTAGAGATTCTTGCATTACTCAAATCAGTGTGCATAAAAGGAAGGAAGACCACCTGCTGTATCCTTCTTGGTATTTTCTTTTGGCTGCTTGAACTTTTATTTACCTCCTCTGTAAAAATCATCTGCAGAGTTTGCGACCACTCAGAGGTCAGGCCTGTAATGATGAGACTACTGGCCCTTGTAAGTGTGAAGATTAGAAATAAGGTGGAAAACATATCCTGTAATAGTTAATGTTATGTTTTTGTGGTTCAGTGTCTCATTTCAGCCTTGCCTCATTGTTCTCTTGTTGATGAGGTTGCCAGGAACTGGAGCTCAGCATTGTTGCAGGTTTGGGCTGGGACAGCTGCTCCTCCTTTGCTCTGCAAACAGCTGGCCCTTGTCCCCCAGGAGCCCAGGGCCACTGTATGTGTCACCCAGAGCTGTTGTTACCTCCACTAACCAACTGTTTCAGGGCTCCCCTGGCCCTGGGAGCTGCTCCCGGCAGTGCAGTCATGGGGCTGAGGAGCTGGTGCCAGGAGAGATAGGGCAGGGAAGTGTTCCCCAATTTAGCTCCAGTGCGATAGAGCGATGCTGGTGCTCACGTGGGCTGGGGGACAAGCAGCTCCCCCACCCCTACCACTGTCAGCAGGGAATTGCATTTAGAAAGGGTGCTGGGACTTAGCAGAGCCTGTGGTGGCTGGATATTGTGGGGTGAATTTGAAATAAAAATTTTCAAACCCACTTCGTTTAAGATGCATTGATTTCTTCAGCTGCTAAAAAAAAAAGTGCATGTAGCCAGGCACCTTTGGTTATCTGCCTCAGACTGCAGTTGGGAGCATCTTTTTTGATGTACAGACACTGGATTCAATCCAAAACTAACTTTACTCCCATCCCTCTTGTATTTCAGTGCCATCCTGTTGATATGGGAATTCTTATCAGGCACAGTGTAGAGGATGCAGGGCAGTGTTTCACACCTTACTTGTGGTCTTTGTGCTCAGGGAGCCCAGGGTCTAAAGCTGAAGCACCAAGCTGTTCTGTTTGCCGTCAAGGCTGGGGTGGAACAGGAGGATGGGAGATGAGAAGTCACAAACTTCAGTTTTGTTTGGTTTTTTTTTATGTGCTTGTAGTGACCTCAGTGATTGTCATCTTTTTATAAAAGTTGTATCTCCCTACCACCAAAAGTCAAAATTTCAACTTCAGCATTGTAAGGTACTTCCTGGCTCGTGTCACTGTTGTGTTGGAATATCCAGATCATCTAGGAGTATAAAAAAAAAAGGATTAACAATGCTCTGAACAATGGAAGTTTATTATTAGGTGGCCATTTATTGTTGTGATTCATTAATTGTCTGTTTATAGATAAGATTGTTTACATTAGTCACGTAGATTAAACTCCACTGTTGCTAACATCCATGGGAAAGTGCTTTGCAAATGTGAAGTGTTGATCTTTTTAGAAACATTATCATTAATTGGGAGTCCAGCCCATAATTCAGCAGGAGATTTAATTACAAAAGGATCAAGGCTCACAAGCCATGTCCTTATTTCCACCCAAACTTTAATATGGAGAACACGTGAAAGAATGATCAAGGTTGTGTCTTCAGCTGCACAGAGTGTCCTGAAAAATCTCCCTTCAAAAATGATGTGCATACCTTCTGATTTCAGCCTCTGCTGGCTCTGGGGTCTCTGTAGAATTATTGATCATTTTTGTAACCTAGTCGCATCTCCTACATCTCTGAAATCAGTGTTGGTTTGGGTTTTTTTTTAGAAAAGTGACCTGAGAGCAGTATTTGGGTATGAATGAAAACATGTTTTGGAAAAGCACTGGGGTGACATGCAGGGAAACGTTGGGAAACATTAATCTCATCTACTCTTGATTGCAACCAGGGTTACAACCTTAGATCTGCCTTTAAGACGGGAATATTTTTTCATGGTGATAATGATCAGTGGGTGTGAAATGGAAAAGATTAGCAGCTGGAGAAGCATGATGTATTGCTGCAAACTTTTTTTTCCTTTTCCTTTTAGATTAAAAGGAACAAACTTGTTTTAAATCACAGCACTCCTCCTCTGCATGGTTTGTCTAAGGTGTGCCCAGGTTGTTTGGAGTGACAAACCCAAATGTGTCATAACTGGTGATTGCATGAGAGGGCAAACACTTAATTGATAAAAATGCTGCCATTGACTTTGGTCTTTAATCAGGTCTGTGGATGGAGTCTCTTGTCTAAACTGCTACTTAGGAGCTGTGTAACCTGCAGAGTTTCTCAAGGAGACTTTTTGATAGAGATGAGAGCTCCCACTTCCAAGGCAAAATGTCATGCAGCTTAATGAAGTATGAACTTCAAAAGCCTCTGAAAGAATGCATTGACCCTCTCTTAATATAACCTGGGGTTTGGGTACAGTAGGTCCTCTTTTGTTAATGAATGAACAACTCCTGTAAATTTCCCAGTTTTTCCTGCTTTAATCTAAAACTGAAAAAAGGATATGCTTGTAATATTTTCCCCCCACTTACATATTCATATAGAATGATGCCCTACCGAAGTGTACTGTGTATTCCTGAGAAAAGCAATTGTAATACACTCTGATGTTCATGTTTTATCTTCCCCTTCCCCCCAGCTTCTGAGTTAATATTAAAGAATTTAAGAAAAAAGTTCA